TACAGTTTGAATTTGGTAGATTGAGAAGCAAATAATTTACTAAACCTAGTCTTCAGATACCATTTAGCAACAAAGATAGTGAAATCTATCAAAAGCTGACGACATAAATTGTGTCCACTACAGTACATATCAGATGCTCGCAGAGTGCAATAGTAAATGTATCAGTTGCTTAAATCCTTCAATCAGAACATGAAGCCTTCCTGATTTCATCCGGAAAACACAACGGATAGTCAATGTGGAGAGCGGTAGTGAGCCAGAGATGTGGGGGTTAAGCGTTGACTGCGAATCTGTGCGCCGGTATCGCGCATCTGACTGCCACTCTTGAATGGAAGAAATTTTCGAAATATCCTAAGATAGGAAAGATCAGCCACGTGGGTTGTAATTATTTGTACAATTCAAGCAAAATGAGAAATGTGGAGTTGAGTTTGTCTGTTAAACAGCAGCAAATTCCAGTCACTTGCGCCGATCTCCGAAATACCTCGGCAAATGAAGAGCGACAAGAAAGTAAGGGTTAAGCGCAGCTTGGATGGATAGGGCGAGATAGCTCGGAAAGGAAAGCTGCGTGTGTAGCAGGCTTATTTCGTTCAAAAGTCCTGTGAAGTACTTTTTTGGTAACGATTATAGCTACTGAAGAGGAGTTTGACGCATTCCAACATGGGCAGCTTTTGCGCAAAAAGGCATCGCTCATCGGCCAAGAGGCTGACGTATTCCAAGAAAGGCAACTTATCTACGGAAAGACGTCGTCAATACGGCATTGAAGGCTCGAACATAACTATTCCATATTATTTGCAACAAGATCGCAAGTTTTTGCTGTTGGATTTCCGTCTAAAGGACAATGATGTACCGGAAATGGAAATGGGAACGGCGATGGTGCGTCATGCCTATCTACAAAGAAGCACTCGTTGAAGTGTTGAACTCCTCAAACTGTGCCCTGTTGGACCATCATCAGCATCATTTGGAAAGAGAAACATTGCTAGCTCAGAGTGGTGGTTTGTAACCCTTCAAAGAGTGGGCTCATTGTGCCTTTTGATAATAGCACATTTGGATTTCAACAAGGACCACTGAGAGCATTAACAAATCTTTCGTTATGATGACCTTCATTACTGCCTTGCCAGATATAAACGCACAATTTGGTGGTGTTGACAGCGGCTTCGATTTCGCTAGGTTGTAGTGATTTTGTAACTCCTTCCTCAGATGACAGATGATTCGATTTGATAACGAGTCTACGCGTTAACGACGAAGTAATTATAATCGTTAATTTTTGCACATTAC